CCAGTAAGTTACTATGGTGTGGTTACCAGTAACTTACCATGGTGTGGTTACCAGTAACTTATCATGGTGTGGTTACCAGTAACTTACCATGGAGTGGTTACCAGTAACTTTCCATGGTGTGGTTACCAGTAACTTACCATGGTGTGGTTACCAGTAACTTACCATGGTGTGGTTACCAGTAACTTACCATGGTGTGGTTACCAGTAACTTACCATGGTGTGGTTACCAGTAACTTACCATGGTGTGGTTACCAGTAACTTACCACGGTGTGGTTACCAGTAACTTACCATGGTGTGGTTACCAGTAACTTACCATGGAGTGGTTACCAGTAACTTACCATGGTGTGGTTACCGGTAACTTACCATGGTGTGGTTACCAGTAACTTACCATGGTGTGGTTACCAGTAACTTACCATGGTGTGGTTGCCAGTAACTTACCATGGTGAGGCTACCAGAAACTTACCATGGTGTGGTTACCAGTAACTTACCATGGTGTGGTTACCAGTAACTTACCATGGTGTGGTTGCCAGTAACTTACCATGGTGTGATTACCAGTAACTTACCATGGTGTGGTTACCAGTAATTTACCATGGTGTGGTTACCAGTAACTTACCATGGTGTGGTTACCAGTAACTTACCATTGTGTGGTTACCAGTAACTTACCATGGTGTGGTTACCAGTAACTTACCATGGTGTGGTTACCAGTAACTTACCATGGTGTGGTTACCAGTAACTTACCATGGTGTGGTTACCAGTAACTTTCCATGGTGTGGTTACCAGTAACTTTCCATGGTGAGGTTACCAGTAACTTACCATGGTGTGGTTACCAGTAACTTACCATGGTGTGGTTACCAGTAACTTACCATATTGTGGTTACCAGTAACTTACCATGGTGTGGTTACCAGTAACTTACCATGGTGTGGTTACCAGTAACTTACCATGGTGTGGTTACCAGTAACTTACCATGGTGTGGTTACCAGTAACTTACCATTGTGTGGTTACCAGTAACTTACCATGGTGTGGTTACCAGTAACTTACCATGGTGTGGTTACCAGTAACTTTCCATGGTGTGGTTACCAGTAACTTTCCATGGTGAGGTTACCAGTAACTTACCATGGTGTGGTTACCAGTAACTTACCATGGTGAGGTTACCAGTAACTTACCATGGTGAGGTTACCAGTAACTTACCATGGTGTGATTACCAGTAACTTACCATGGTGAGGTTACCAGTAACTTACCATGGTGTGGTTACCAGTAACTTACCATGGTGTGGTTACCAGTAACTTACCATGGTGTGGTTACCGGTAACTTACCATGGTGTGGTTACCAGTAACTTACCATGGTGTGGTTACCAGTAACTTACCATGGTGTGGTTACCAGTAACTTACCATGGTGTGGTTACCAGTAACTTACCATGGTGTGGTTACCAGTAACTTACCATGGTGTGGTTACCAGTAACTTACTATGGTGAGGTTACCAGTAACTTACCATGGTGAGGTTACCAGTAACTTACCATGGTGTGGTTACCAGTAACTTACCATGGTGAGGTTACCAGTAACTTACCATGGTGTGGTTACCAGTAACTTACCATGGTGTGGTTACCAGTAACTTACCATGGTGTGGTTACCGGTAACTTACCATGGTGTGGTTACCAGTAACTTACCATGGTGTGGTTACCAGTAACTTACCATGGTGTGGTTACCAGTAACTTACCATGGTGTGGTTACCAGTAACTTACCATGGTGTGGTTACCAGTAACTTACCATGGTGTGGTTACCAGTAACTTACCATGGTGAGGTTACCAGTAACTTACCATGGTGAGGTTACCAGTAACTTACCATGGTGTGGTTACCAGTAACTTACCATGGTGTGGTTACCAGTAACTTACCATGGTGTGGTTACCAGTAACTTACCATGGTGAGGTTACCAGTAACATACCATGGTGAGGTTACCAGTAACTTACCATGGTGTGGTTGCCAGTAACTTACCATGGTGAGGTTACCAGTAACTTACCATGGTGAGGTTACCAGTAACTTACCATGGTGTGGTTACCATTAACTTACCATGGTGAGGTTACCAGTAACTTACCATGGTGTGGTTACCAGTAACTTACCATGGTGTGGTTACCAGTAACTTATCATGGTGAGGTTACCAGTAACTTACCATGATGAGGTTACCAGTAACTTACCATGCTGTGGTTACCAGTAACTTACCATGGTGAGGTTACCAGTAACTTACCATGGTGAGGTTACCAGTAACTTACCATGGTGTGGTTACCAGTAACTTACCATGGTGAGGTTACCAGTAACTTACCATGGTGAGGTTACCAGTAACTTACCATGGTGTGGTTACCAGTAACTTACCATGGTGTGGTCACCAGTAACTTACCATGGTGTTGTTACCAGTAACTTACCATGGTGAGGTTACCAGTAACTTACCATGGTGTGGTTACCAGTAATTTACCATGGTGAGGTTACCAGTAACTTACCATGGTGAGGTTACCAGTAACTTACCATGGTGAGGTTACCAGTAACTTACCATGGTGAGGTTACCAGTAACTTACCATGGTGTGGTTACCAGTAACTTACCATGGTGTGGTTACCAGTAACTTACCATGGTGAGGTTACCAGTAACTTACCATGGTGAGGTTACCAGTAACTTACCATGGTGAGGTTACCAGTAACTTACCAGGGTGTGGTTACCAGTAACTTACCATGGTGTTGTTACCAGTAATTTACCATGTTGCGGTTACCAGTAACTTACCATGGTGTGGTTACCAGTAACTTACCATGGTGTGGTTACCAGCAACTTACCATGGTGTGGTTACCAGTAACTTACCATGGTGTGGTTACCAGTAACTTACCATGGTGTGGTTACCAGTAACTTACCATGGTGTGGTTACCAGTAACTTACCATGGTGTGGTTACCAGTAACTTACCATGGTGTGGTTACCAGTAACTTACCATGGTGTGGTTACCAGTAACTTACCATGGAGTGGTGATATGCACCTTAAGATCTTATATAAAAGGTCTTATATTTTTTATTATGAAATTGGACAATAAAATCCACTAACTTTCCTCAAATGATATAAGGATGGGTACTGTTGGAAGCATTGAAGTCACTCGTGGATAAAATATTCTCCATGAATAAATTTAATATGGAAGAATCTTTACTTTAATATTCCATTGTAGTGGTTACCACCCTATTCTTCATATAAAGGTTTGCCATACAGTGGAATCCTATACTGAAGCCCTCTGGCAGATGGCGGCCACTCAGGGCTGTAGTATATTGAAGTCCTCTGGGAAACATTCCTCACTTGGGAAAATGTTCTGTTCCTTGCTCTGCCGGTTTCTCACTCAGGAAAAACGCCCTTTTCCTCGCTCTGTTAGTTCGCCCCTCAGAAAACCCCCTATTTTTTTCTCTACCTGGTTACCTACTACTAACATATGTTTGTTGGCTTACCGTAAACATTAAATTTAATTGTTTCACCAATTCTATGGACATGTTTAATTCGGAATGAAATGACTTTTTACTTCACTTTCTTTAGTGGCTTTCAAGAAAGTGACCATTTAATTTAGCTTGAGTAAAAGGTCATCGTGACTCTGTTCATGGCAGGTATCCATGAATTGTATCACTGTCGACCAATTCACCATATAGAAGAATTAATAATTTTTTTATGGTCTTTGTAATGAGATTGGCATGTAGAATAGTCTGCGCCCTGCATCTGCGGTCGTGAATGGGACGTGGTGATGACAAACTTTCCGTACTCCTTGAAATAAACGGTGCCATCGCCCAGTGTTTTGCAAACGATGAAACAAAGGAAAGGGAGTTTGCCCTCACTTTCAAGCGTCAGAGTGAACCTAATGGAGGGCTGAGAGTGCTGATCTTATTGGTAATGGCATGGATATCAAGGGGTTCAGGGTAAATCACCAAAATGTAGTTTTTGGAGAGATATTACAAGTCTTTAGCCTTAATATTTTACACGTTGGCAGGTACAACATGAAGGGGGATGCCTATACTCATGCCAAAACCTTGTTTATAGACATTGCCCTTGTACCTTATTACAACCCAGGAGTCCCAAAGGCCTGTTATCCTGGGTGTAAAGGGAGCAAAATAAACACAGCAGAAAAAAAAATTGAATTATATTATCCTTCACCAATTTAGAACAGATGTACACTACATTCACTATGTACAACAATAGGTATTAGTGCACTCCACGGTAAGCAAGGCAGAATAGAAGCCACTAGAGAGAAGACAGTGCTTCAACCAGCTCTAGAATGGAAATGACAAGGGCAGACAGGTGTGTTGTACCCACAACACCTATGCGATTGCCAAAGCCAACTTCTCATTGGCTGGAACCTGGGTACTGATTGAACGGCGGGGCCCCATCATCAATCCTTAGTACCTGGTTCGTTGGTTGGGGGAGACAGCCTTTCAGTGAGGGTGTGTACATGCGCCGAATAAAGTTTACGTACTCTTTGTATGCCACATACCTAAAGAAGATAAGGTTACCACAAAAAATCGACGAGTTCCATAAAGTCTCGGAGAGCAAGCCTTTGGCCATTGTACTATTATATCTATACCGGTGTTACTGGGAACGTTGAAAGAAGCCACGTAATAGTTGTTGTTTTTAATACTGGAAAATGTTTAGTTCCCCAGAGTCGTGAGACACTTTTAGCGAGGTAGAGGACACTGTGCGGGACACAGGGCTGAAAGTAGTGACGGGTTTGTGGGTCTTCGGAAGACCGTAGAGTCTGACAGGTGTATGTAACTAATATCTCATCACTCGCAGTCAAGATGAAAGAATTTCCAGGATAGACATCACTTATGATCCTTTGTGGTGCAAGTGATAGGGCATTGGACTGACAGCCGCCCAGGTCAAGGGTTCAGATCTTAGGACACCTCTTGAATTATTACATAAAATTAATTTTCAGTACACAGTTATCAGTGTATAATTTATAAGTTACTGTATACACTTATAATGTATATGTATCTCACCAGGTACACCTTCGTTCGACCTCCTGACACAGTCTGGGGAGTTAGACTTAATAATGGGTCATGGACCGGCATGATGGGCATGGTGGTGAGAGAGGTCAGTGATGTAAGGCATTTTCTGAAAAAAAATACATCATCATAAAACGAAAAAAAATATTTAGGTAATTTTCCCTCTACGTCGCTTGACTGCATTACAATTTCATTTTATAATGGTGTACAGTATCAACACATTGATATGTATGATAAACCTGCAACACGTTGATATGTATGATACACCTGCAACACATCGATATGTATGATAAACCTGCAACACGTTGATATGTATGATAAACCTGCAACACGTTGATATGTATGATAAACCTGCAACACGTTGATATATATGATATATCTGCAACACGTTGATATGTATGATAAACCTGTAACACGTTGATATGTATGATACACATGCAATACTACGAATCTTCATATAAAGATAAATTACACTTCAGGAGACATCAACGTTGGTGGAAGACAAAGCAGATGAACTTGAGAGGTAGTCTGATGTGAACAGTCCATCAACCAAGGCTCAAGATGATCACATCGTCTACCTCGTCGTCCACCAACGCTGATGTTTCCAGGAGTGTGAGCCATCTCTGTAATCGACAGACGAAGCATGCAGCCCAGGTGAAAAGTTTCGTCTATAATGATTGTGTTGCACATGTACCTAGATTACAATATGTCTTTTGAGATACGAAGGTCATGGTTAGATAAATGATACAAATAGCAAATAGTTAATAAGTGGTTATTTTGTACTGACGAGACATTTCTCGTGCATAGGCCTTTTTCTAACTTAAATAAAGAGACGACTTTAATACAGTTGGAGACTGTGTTTAGTTACTTACTCTAGATGGATCAGTGATTAAAATACTTAAATATCAATTAATTTGTGTCACCTATATTAATTAAGAAGTTAATATTTGAATTTTAAGAGAGTTGTTCCATGTATTGAATATTATAAACTAGCTGTGCTGATATTTTCTTCAAGTATGTTATTTAAATGACTGTAATATACGAACTGTATTGGTAATGTCATAACACCTCCTTAGTTTCCCTACAGGAAGTGAGTATCGGTGCTGGACCTTTCATGATCGATAGATGGCGAGCCGAGGCGGTGGACTACACTGTGCCAATGGTGTTAGACTACTGGAGGATCCTGGGGGTCCGAGGTCTTCCAGAGGTGGACCCCTGGGGCTTCCTGTTTAACCTGGCACCGCTGGTGTGGGCAGCCATTTTACGGGCCCTGGTGGTGCTTGCTTCAACTGCGTTCCTCGTGTCAACCTACTGTACTTACAAGAGTGATGACCACGGCTACTGGCTTCACGTCACATTCGGATATATTCGCATACTATTACAGCAAGGCAAGATTTTTTCTCACCTGATGAAGCATGGAAATTTGAAACGCCTAGAGCTAGTATTTCCATCCCTATATGGTTCATTTCCATATATACATCATTATATATATATATTTATATATATATATATATATATATATATATATATATATATATATATATATATATATATATATATATATATATATATATATATATATATATATATATATATATATATAAATATATATATAAATATATATATATATATATATATATATATATATATATATATATATATATATATATATATATATATATATATATATATATATATATATATATATATATATATAATTTATATCTTAGGTAGTAGGTTGGTAGGTAGACAACAACCGCTCGGGGAGGTACTACCGTTCTGCCAAGTCAGTGTAAAACGAAAGCCTGTAATTGTTTCCATTATGGTAGGATAGCTGGTGTCTTTTTTCTGTCTCATAAACATGCAAGATTTCAGGTACGTCTTGTTACTTCTACTTACGCTTAGGTCACACTACACATTCATATACAAGCATATATATACACACACCCCTCTGGGGTTTCTTCTATTTTTTTACTAGTTTTTTTCTTATTTCCTCTTATTTCCATGTGGAAGTGGAACAGAATTCTTCCTCCGTGTGCCATGCGTGTCGTAAGAGTCGACTAAAATGCCGGAAGCCCGGTGATAGTAACCGTTTCTCCTGCATACATTATTATTTTATTAACACACTGGCCGATTCCCACCAAGGCAGGGTGACCCGAAAAAGAAAAACTTTCACCATCATTCACTCCATCACTGTCTTGCCAGAAGGGTGCTTTACACTACAGTATTTAAATTGCAACATTAACACCCCTCCTTCAGAATGCAGGCACTGTACTTCCCATCTCCAGGACTCAAGTCCGGCCTGCCGGTTTCCCTGAATCCATTCATAAATGTTACTTTGCTCACACTCCAACAGCACGTCAAGTATTAAAAACCATTTGTCTCCATTCACTCCTATCAAACACGCTCACGCATGCCCGCTGGAAGTCCAAGCCCCTCGCACACAAAACCTCCTATACCCCCTTCCTCCAACATTTCCTAGGCCGACCCCTACCCAGCCTTCCTTCCACTACAGACTGATACACTCTTGAAGTCATTCTGTTTCACTCCATTCTCTCTACATGTCCGAACCACCTCAGCACCCCTTCCTCAGCCCTCTGGACAACAGTTTTGGTAATCCCGCACCTCCTCCTAACTTCCAAACTACGAATTCTCTGCATTATATTCACACCACACATTGCCCTCAGACATGATATCTCCACTGCCTCCAGCCTTCTCCTCGCTGCAACATTCATCACCCATGCTTCACACCCATATAAGAGCGTTGGTAAAACTATACTCTCTTACATTCCCCTCTTTGCCTCCAAGGACAAAGTTCTTTGTCTCCACAGACTCCTAAGTGCACCGCTCACCCTTTTTCCCCTCGTCAATTCTATGATTCACCTCATCTTTCATAGACCCATCCGCTGACACGTCCACTCCCAAATATCTGAATACATTCACCTCCATACTCTCTCCCTCCAGTCTGATATCCAATCTTTCATCACCTAATCTAATTGTTTTGTTATCCTCATAACCTTACTCTTTCCTGTATTCACTTTTAATTTTCTTCTTTTGCACACCCTACCAAATTCATCCACCAACCTCTGCAACTTCTCTTCAGAATCTCCCAAGAGCACAGTGTCATCAGCAAAGAGCAGCTGTGACAACTCCCACTTTATGTGTGATTCTTTATCTTTTAACTCCACGCCTCTTGCCAAGAACCTCGCATTTACTTCTCTTACAACCTCATCTATAAATATATTAAACAACCACGGTGACATCGCACATCCTTGTCTAAGGCCTACTTTTACTGGGAAATAATCTCCCTCTTTCTTACATACTCTAACTTGAGCCTCACTATCCTCGTGAAAACACTGCTTTCAGTAACCTACCTCCTACACCATACACCTGCAACATCTGCTACATTGCCCCCTATCCACCCTGTCATATGCCTTTTCCAAATCCATAAATGCCACAAAAACCTCTTTAGCCTTATCTAAATACTTATATGTTTCACTGTAAACACCTGGTTCACACACCCCCTACCTTTCCTAAAGCCTCCTTGTTCATCTGCTATCCTATTCTCCATCTTACTCTTAATTCTTTCAATAAAAACTCTACCATACACTTTACCAGATATACTCAACAGACTTATCCCCCTATAATTTTTGCACTCTTTTGTCCCCTTTGCCTTTATACAAAGGAACTATGCATGCTCTCTGCCAATCCCTAGGTACCTTACCCTCTTCCATACATTTATTAAATAATTGCACCAACCACTCCAAAACTATATCCCCACCTGCTTTTAACATTTCTATCTTTATCCCATCAATCCCGGCTGCTTTACCCCCTTTCATTTTACCTACTGCCTCACGAACTTCCCCCACGCTCACAACTGGCTCTTCCTCACTCCTACAAGATGTTATTCCTCCTTGCCCTATACACGAAATCACAGCTTCCCTATCTTCATCAATATTTAACAATTTCTCAAAATATTCCCTCCATCTTCCCAATATCTCTAACTCTCCATTTAATAACTCTCCTTTCCTATTTTTAACTGACAAATCCATTTGTTCTCTAGGCTTCCTTAACTTGTTAATCTCATTCCAAAACTTTTTCTTATTTTCAACAAAATTTGTTGATAACATCTCACCCACTCTCTCATTTGCTCTCTTTTTACATTGCTTCACCACTCTCTTAACCTCTCTCTTTTTCTCCATATACTCTTCCCTCCTTGCATCACTTCTACTTTGTAAAAACTTCTAATATGCTAACTTTTTCTCCCTTACTACTCTCTTTACTTCATCATTCCTCCAATCGATCCTCTTCCCTCCCGCACCCACTTTCCTGTAACCACAAACTTCTGCTGAACACTCTAACACTACATTTTTAAGCCTACCCCATACCTCTTCGACCCCATTGCCTATGCTCTCATTAGTCCATCTATCCTCCAATAGCTGTTTATATCTTACCCTAACTGCCTCCTCTTTTAGTTTATAAACCTTCACCTCTCTCTTCCCTGATGCTTCTATTCTCCTTGTATCCCATCTACCTTTTACTCTCATTGTAGCTACAACTAAAAAGTGATCTGTTATATCTGTGGCCCCTCTATAAACATGTACATCCTGAAGTCTACTCAACAGTCTTTTATCTACCAATACATAATCCAACAAACTACTGTCATTTCGCCCTACTTCATATCTTGTATACTTATTTATCCTCTTTTTCTTAAAATATGTATTACCTATAACTAAACCCCTTTCTATACAAAGTTCAATCAAAGGGCTCCCATTATCATTTACACCTGGCACCCCAAACTTACCTACCACACCCTGTCTAAAAGTTTCTCCTACTTTAGCATTCAGGTCCCCTACCACAATTACTCTCTCACTTGGTTCAAAGGCTCCTATACATTCACTTAACATCTCCCAAAATCTCTGTCTCTCCTCTACATTCCTTTCTTCTCCAGGTGCATACACGCTTATTATGACCCACTTTTCGCATCCAACCTTTACTTTAATCCACCTACATTACTAAAGTTAAAAAGAGAAACTTTTGTTTTTCTCTTTGGGTCACCCTGCCTAGGTGGAAAACGGCTGATTTGTTGAAATTATATATATATATATATATATATATATATATATATATATATATATATATATATATATATATATATATATATAATATATATATATATATATATATATATATATATATATATATATATATATATATATATATATATGTATGCTTAACAATTCGCAGACAGGCGAAATTATTTACAAACATTGTCTCTCCGTCCACGGCAGGACTCGAACCTGCTAACTTCGTATCAGAGTCAACAGTACTTTACCACGAAGCCAGAACCCAATAAGTATGGGCGCCTAGCCGAAGCTAGACGATGTTTCCCATACCCCCGGGCACCAAGCTCGTTTTCAAAGTTAATTCATCAAATCCTGTCACATGCAATGGAGAACGAGAGAGATTTGAAATGCTTAACAATTCGCAAACAGGCGAAATTATTTACAAATTATTTACTTGTATATACATGTGGTGTGTGTACTCACCTAATTGTACTCACCTAATTGTGGTTGCAGGGGTCGATACACAGCTCCTGGCCCCGCCTCTTCACTGATCGCTACTAGGTCCTCTCTCTCTCTCTGCTTCCAGAGCTTTGTCATACGTCGTCTTAAAGCTATTTATGGTTTCTGCTTCCACTACATCACTTGTTAGGCTATTCCACTTCCTGACGACTCTGACTGAAGAAATACATGTACTTCCTAACATCCCTCTGAGTCGTCTGAGTCTTCAGCTTCCAATTGTGACCCCTTGTTTCTGTGTCTCCTCTCTGGAACAACCTGTCTCTGTCTACCTTATTTATTCCATGCAGTATTTTGTATGTCGTTATCATGTCTCCCCTGACTCGCCTGTCCTCCAATGTCATCAGTCCGATTTCCCTTTCTTCGTAGGACATACCCCCGAGCTCCGGAACTAGCCTTGTTGCAAACCTTTGCACGTTCTCTAATTTCTTGACGTGTTTGACCAGGTGTGGGTTCCAAACTGGAGCTGCATACTCCAGTATGGGTCTGATATACACTGTGTACAGTGTGTGTGTGTATGTGTGTGTGTATGTTTGTGTGTGTGTGTGTGTGTGTGTGTGTGTGTGTGTGTGTGTGTGTGTGTGTGTGTGTGTGTGTGTGTGTGTTTGCGTTTGTGTGTTTGTGTGTGATACAAATATCTCGAACAAGCGATGCAAGGACAGTCCCTGTGACCGTATTTGCTGGACATCCTCCTCTTTTCTACATAATTTCAAGCTCCTCCTGATGATGTGTTAATTGCAACAAGAAAGGTCTATAGCTATCATTCAACACTCCCCGATGTTGTTTTGCATATTTATGGTAGTTTTTCACCTTGTTAAACTATCTTATACTTTATTTCCAATGATGTCATTTTGTCACATGATATTACCCCTCATTTTCTTGCTTGATATATATTAACTGTTCTGTTCTGGTATGCACGTTGAGGCTTAATAAAGCTCCCGGCGGATGAAACAGCCTATATCGATTGTCAACAGAAACATTCCACCCATGGTTTCATATTGTTGCACAGTGCAACTCCATGAAGATTTTCTGTGTGCGTTATGTGGTCCTCCTCTATGCATACAGCTACTGGAACAGACACATCTTCTTAACTGATTGTCTCAAAGAAGCGGTGCCTCTTAAGTTCACTCTTATTTAACTTTAATCCAGCAAGCATTCCCTGTGTCTGGATATTCACGCCTACATCACTGAATGCACAGAAGGGATTTCACACTCCTTCAGGGAAGCCTTCATGGAAGCCAGGAAAATAACGACTACACTTAATACCAGCATGTATAATTCTGAACACATCTTAAGCTGAATAACTATTTTCAACCTCCAGTACAAGACTGACATGAAAGCTGAACTCCTTTGGCAGTAACTTTATTAGATGAAGAGATAGAGGAAGAACTTCCAGCATCAGTAGTTTGTCTAAAGGCACCCAATCCCAAAATGAACTTGAAACATTCATTTGAAGCTCAAAATTATCCACAATCATACTTAAATCCAACTACCAACTAGATGTAATCACTAAGAACCACAGTTTTAATGACAACATTTTCTGTAAAGCTTTACGCAAGGTACCCTCATCGCAGAGCTGTGTAGTAGTTCTTAGCTGCTCCCTAAGGACCAGCAGAAGACAACAGCATAATCATTACTGCCGTAGATAAAGGAGGCGTGGTTATCTTAAACCAGACCGACTACAACGCCAAGGTTAGAGTTGCTCAGTGACCGCACATGTGAAATCATCACCACCCCAACGTGGAACTCTCTCACGGCATCAAACAAGTCTTAAAACTAACTGAATGCAGGACGAAATTTCCTTACCTAGTACCTGGCAATCGAAAAGCAGCAGAGTAGTAAATACTACAAGACAAAAAACAACACTGAAGTACAGACTACAAGACAAAAACACCAGGAGAGTACAGAGTCCAAGAACAAAACAGCAGGAAAGTAAAGAACACAAGAAAAAACAGCATGGAAGGACTACAAAAAAAAAGTGCAAGTGCCCCACACAGGTTAACTGGGGGTTCTTGCCAAGAACTTTTCTTATCTTTTGGGGACCATGAGTGATATACACCTAAATTCCTCGACTGAAAGCAAATTAACATCAGGAACACCAAGACGGAGAGTCAAATGATGACCTGCTTATTCACATAGATACCTTTGGACCAGTCAATAGCACTACTTTACCGTAAACACCACAACAGCTAAAATCTCCTTTCCAGCTATATAGTTTTTTTTTTTTTACTGTAAGTGAGTGTTGTTTAAACTTCATTTAACACATAACTTACATGATGTAAAACAACTACGGGGGAAGTTGAATGATAGCTCTAGGCCCTTCGTGTTGCAATCAACACATTTTCAGGAACTTGCAATGTTGTAGAAATAAGTAGGAAGTCCAGGTAGATTCGTTCAAGGGAACGACTTTAGCTAGAATGAGATGGCATTATTACAATAAAGATACCCAGATGTTGCACATGTGTCTTAATTTCATCATTATTACATAACATAACTTACATATTTCAGCTCCAACAGCAAGCCAGAGCTATGGTATTGAAATGGCGAGACCTATCACTGCAATTCTTGCTTGGTAGCTTGTACATGAATGGTATACAACACCGACAAGATGAAGACACATGTGCAACATCTGGGTATCTTTATTTGTAGACGTTTCGCTAATACAAATACATATAAAGTTGCCCACATGTTGCATATGTGTCTAATTCTTGCTAAATTGTTCGCGGAACACTTGTAGGTAGAGCGTTTTAATAATACAGTAATTATGTGAAACAACATGATCATCATCACCTCCAGATGGATGAACACTGGAGACTTGCGAGTCAAACTTAGCCAAGTAGAACTAAAGATGCAGCTTTCCTTAGAGGAAGTAGATGTGATGATAAGATTCTTTTATGGATGTTGTAATGCACAAATTTGACCATACACTAAAGCTCCAAATTATTTTTCTGAACCCACCAATAATAATGATCTACTCCCACCAGAACTCACTGAGTAAACAGTGGGTTATTATAGACTTATCTCTGGGCACACACAGTATGCAGTTCGAAATACAAGGGAGAGGAATGAACCTAGATTTTCCATGGACGGCTTCTTCTCCATGTAACTTCAGAGTCCTCTATCAAAGATGTAACTGAAAACTAAGAAGACTCGGCAACAGAAATGCTGGTACTTGCATTATCTCATGTTGAGGCTGCCAAAAGGTTTAAATAGGCGAAGCATCAAGAAATTTATGTACGAGCATCAGAGAAAGCACTGTCGACGTCATTAACAATGCTTCCCTTGGTCATTGTAACTCTTATAATCATCTCATATACTAGAAGAATGAAAAAATAGTTATAATATAACCTGAGTTTTGTATGAGGAGGTGTGTGGAAGCTTCTCTCATATCAGTCAAGGTGTGTGGAAGCTTCTCTCATATCAGTCAAGGTGTGTGGAAGCTTCTCTCATATCAGTCAAGGTGTGTGGAAGCTTCTCTCATATCAGTCAAGGTGTGTGGAAGCTTCTCTCATATCAGTCAAGGTGTGTGGAAGCTTCTCTCATATCAGTCAAGGTGTGTGGAAGCTTCTCTCATATCAGTCAAGGTGTGTGGAAGCTTCTCTCATATCAGTCAAGGTGTGTGGAAGCTTCTCTCATATCAGTCAAGGACACACACACCCAAATTAGCTTTTAACATCTCAGAAGTAAAAGTTAGAATCATCACAAACAACATTGTTATAATTTAATCTACACTACGTGAGCATTTTATGCTCCCTCAAGTATGTTTCTAAAATTTCAATGCAATGATCTCAACACCTGCTATTTTTACTTCACTTTCTTGCCGAATATGTAATCACTGATTTGTCATCGCTTGTACACTCAGGTTCAGCAAAGTTCCTTACGAAAGAATGAAGCCTAAATAAATGTCCATACATTGAAAATGGGTCCATTTTCTATATTAAACTTTTGTTTTTCATTCGTTATGTGTGTTGGTAAGGATTTAGAACTCACACAACACTTATAAATTATTCACAAAAATATTTTACAGATTTGTTTCAAATGTATTGTGACATAATATAGTAAGAATGTTGAAATTCACCAATTATACGCTAACAACTGGTTTCAAGAATTTTCACAATATTATATTATTTTATTTTATTCCTGCAATTCTTACAGATATGACGCTGCTTATATACTGATAGTGGGAGAGAGAGTAGTGCTGATGGTGTAGATGAGGCTGACACAGAGCTATTTTGTCAACCATTACAGATACGACGCTACCTGTGTACTGGTTGTGGGAGCGGGTGGTGTTGATGGTGTGGATGATGGTGACACTGGTGTTAACACGGAGTTACTCTGGCAACCTCATGGCTCTCCTGGCAGTGAGACACATCCCTGAACCTTACCAAACACTACGTGACGTGATGGACGACCCGTCAGTGAAGCTGATATGGCAAAAGGACTCTGCAACTGTTCCTTATCTGAAAATGCGTCCTGGAGCCATCACACCTGAAGTTTGCAGCAATATTATATAAATATACTTTAATAAAAATACCACTGTGAAAAGTAGCAGAGCAGATATACCTAAGCTTTTTCACATGTTTACACACTAAACTGTAAAGGAGCGAGAAAGGAGAATTGTAGAAAGCGCAATATATAATTTTCTAAGAGAGGTGAAACTCTCAAATTGAAAAAAGGAATTGCATTAATAGAGTTTCTCTGTAGTAGAATTACTCGATCAGTTAATAGTTTTGTGACAATCAGCTAAAAACTATGATGTCAAACACATGGGAGCAGTGAAATGCAAACCAAACTGAAAAAATAGAATAAGGAAGATTTCCAGACTCATTATTTGAATATGGATGCTTTAAAATCTTTAAGGCATGAAGTATTTAACGAAGAGCTGCAACAGAACCACTGTCTGTAACTACATTTTTGGTCCATTAAAGGGATTCATTGAAGACAGGGTCTCTTGATTGGAGGAATTGAACCTCTCGCTTCCTTCCTTGGACTGAATTTAAATACTCCAACAGCCACTCATCCTCTCTCCATTTCCCCTCAGTACAGGCAAAAAATTTTCCCTATTGTGAAATCCAGCTGCTTATAAGAGAGAATTTGTGTATGCAGTAATGTCGCAAAAATCATTCTGAACCTAATGAAAAAAAATATATTTCATTGTGTTTGTTTATTATAAAATTATTGCAAACTTGTCTAAAATATGTTTAGTTGGATTAGGCTAAATTAAATTGCGCTTGTTATAAGGTTAGGTAAGTTTTCTTAGGTTCTTTTCGTACAAAATTATTAATTTTTGCATTAACATAAATGAAAAAAAAATCTTTAAACGTATAAGAGAAATTTTTAGAAAGGACTTAATTTTACATTAGTTTTTACTAATTGAGCAATTTTTACCTATTCGGCACGATATATATATATATATGTATATATATATATATATATATATATATATATATATATATATATATATATATATATATATATATAATATATATATTTCAGGCAGCGAAGTCTGGTATATACCGGGAGATATCCGATGCAGAGAAGACTGGTCGGCTCATATACATACCACATCCGCAGTTCCCAGAAGTTACGGATACTTTGGTGAGACGGGGCGACCACGTCCTCATTGATGTCCATGACGGTGTCAAGACTACCATTGCTCAAGACTTCACTAAAACTGGCAGGTTTAGTGGAAATTACTATAAATCATTTAAATACTTTTATTCAATTTGAAATGCCAAAATTCTTGAATTTGGAATTATTATGTTTACTTTTATTTAAGACTCTGAATTAGTTTAAATTTTGTTAGATACAACACTACTAATATATACTCACTGGGAACATCCAGTCCAATTTGATTGGGTAGCCCCCTCAATGTTTCGCTCAATCATCATAGATGAACTACAGATGAATGAAGAAATGTTATATTTTCAGATGAGGCACATTTTGAAGTACATTGGCACAAATCAGTAATAAGGAGACGGAGAAAAGACGAAGCTCTTTGAAATGCACACATTCTACAAGCGCCAAAACTCCAAATAAGATGTTGTGGGGTAGTTTTACAGCTAAAGACCCTGGACGGCATGTTATTGTTGAAGGAACGATGAACAGTTAGAAATGCAAGGCAGTTCTGGCAATTCAATTGCTTCCCATCGTGGAAAGTCTTTCCTGATGAAGAAGGCATTTTCCTGCTGGATCTTGCTCCATGATACACTTCCAGAAAAATGTTGATATTCTTCGAAAAGAGAGGGCTAAGTTTTCTAAACTGGCCTGGAAACTCTCCTGACCTCAATCCAATTGAAAATCTATGGGCAATAAGCAATTCTTCGAAAAGAGAGGGCTAAGTTTTCTAAACTGGCCTGGAAACTCTCCTGACCTCAATCCAATTGAAAATCTATGGGCAATAAGCAAAGCACAGGATCGCAAAACAGTACTATTCGACTGTGGAGATACTCATTACTGCATTTATTAGGATCTGGTACCACGACGAAGAACTTGCCAAAATGTGTTCAACAGTGGTCGATTCTATGCCAAAGTGTGTGGTAACGCAAATGCCAGCCATAACTCATTAAATAAATTAATTATCTTTCATATCATTGCAGTTCATTTTTCAAATAAACATTAACTTCTATAACAAAGGTCTTATGTCATCACTGTCCCAATTAATATTCACTCTACTGCAGGTTAAAGCTGAGATTATTGTTCTGTGCTGGCAGCATTTTTTCACTTATATTTGAATCATTGTCTTTTGTTTTTAATGTCCAAAAAATTGGGAATGCGTCTTCTGAAAGGGGTAAAATGAATTTTGAATATGTATCTATATCGAAGTTCGCATTCATTTTTTTTTCTTATTTTTGGAAGAAAAGTAGTTTTGGTTTTCATGAGATAAGCTGAGAATGTATCTTTTGATCTTCAAACTTTCAAAGTTGTGTTATCTTATTCAAAGAAAGATTGTGATTAATTCTGGACTGTGTAGGTACTAATTAACTAACTGGTTTCTGGGGGATGAGTCTAGTGTTATGCGATACCTGGGATACGTTTTGTCAGCAAACGAAAACCAGTTATTCATTTGCATATATTAAGAAAAGTAACAGTCGTACGGTAGTACAGATCTTTGTGAAATGTCAGCTGCTTTGGGGATTTGAGCTGCTTTGGGGATTAGCGTGGACGGTTACAAAGCATGGCTTGCTTCTGCAGTGTTTTAAAAACTGAGGTTGGAGAGTTGAAGGAGGAGGTCTTGCTTCTCCAGGAGGAGATTAGGAGGCTGAAGGTCCACCTCAATGGGTCTGGGAGAGAGTGTGAAGTGGCTGGAGTTGTGGGGAATGAGACTTCTAGCAGTGAGGTGCAGTCTGTCTCTCGCTGTGAGGAGGCTGTAGTGGGGGAGGTAGCAACGGCTACCAGCAGTGAGGTGCAGCCCAGCACCTGCTACAAGTGGCGAGTTGTTCACAGTAATGGGAGGCGCATCAGAGTAAGGAAAGTTAAGAGTGAAGATCTGAAGGTAGGAAATCGCTTCTCTGTTCTCCAGGATGAATGTACTTCAGTGGCCAGTGAAGGTAAGGGTACTACTGCCCCTGCTAATGAAGGTAAGCGCATTCTTGTGGTTGGTGACTCTCAGGTAAGATATATTGACCGTGCTTTTTGTAATAGGAATAAGAAGATGAGAGATAGAGTGTGCTTCCCTGGAGCTGGTGTTGGGGACATTGTCAACAGGCTGGATAATATCATGTCAGGTAATGGGAACAAGCCCATTATCTGTCTCAGTGCTGGTGGAAATGATATTGGGAAGGGTAGGAGAGAAGAGCTGCTAGATAAGTACAGGTCAGCTATAGATTTCATTAAGTCTAAGGGAGGGATCCCAATCATATGTAGCATCTTGCCTAGAAGGGGAGTAGGAAATGAATGGTTGTCTAGGGCAATTGGTGTAAATTGCTGGCTAGACAGATACTGCAAGGAACTTGCAATCCCATTCATTGACAACTGGAACAACTTTTATGGCAAATATGATATGTATGCAAGGGATGGGGTACATCTCTCTGGGGCAGGGGTGGTAGCACTTGCAGACTCGATTGAGAAGGCCATTGGTGAAATGCCTATGATTTTAAACTGATGGAAGATAGAGGTATGGGTGTGTGTGGGAAACAAGCAGGTTGCAACACTAGGGTTGGAAACAGTAAATGTATAAAAGGCATTCAGCATGAAGTTATAAATAAAGACAATAGAACAGGTCAGCAAACAAAGGGGGACAGCAGAGGGCAGCAAGGGACTAGCTCCCTTAAGGTTTACTATACTAATAGCAGGAGTGTTAGAAATAAGATAGATGAGCTAAGATTAATTGCAAGTGCAGGAAACATAGATATTATTGCTATAACAGAGACCTGGCTCAATCTGAAAGATAGAGAGATGCCCTCTGAATGTCACATACAAGGCTATAAATTATTCCACACTGACAGGGTCAACAGGAAAGGTGGTGGAGTAGCGATGTATGTCAGAGACAATTTAAATTGTTGTGTTAGACAAGATATTAAATTAGAAGCGTCAGCCACTGAATCTGTTTGGTTACAGCTTCTCGAGGGCCGAGAAAAATTAATTTTTGGGTGTGATTTACAGGGCCCCAAATCTTGATAGGGAGTGCAGTAAACTTCTATGGGACGAAATTCGTAAGGCATCTACATACGAAAATGTTGTGCTAATGGGAGATTTCAACTATAGACAGATTGACTGGAGCAATTTGACAGGAAATTTAGAGTCGGGTGACTTTCTTGATACGATCCAGGATTGTTTTTTAAAACAGTTTGTGACAGAGCCAACTAGGGGAAATAACCTCCTTGACTTGGTTCTTGCCAGTAGGGAAACACTAATTAATAATCTTGAGGTTAATGATGAGCTTGGGGAGAGTGATCACAAATCACTCAGTTTTAATATATCATGGAATTCCCCTAATAATGGCAATCAAGTCTCCGTCCCTGACTTTCGCTTGGCTGATTTCATAGGACTGAAAAATTACTTAGGTGGGCTGAACTGGAATGACCTGACTAAGGGTCAGGTAGGTGGTGATGGTTGCCGATATGATGCTTTCCAGGGCATAGTTCTAGCTGCTCAGTCAAATTATGTTCCAAATAGGGAAATCAGATCAAACAAAAATGATCCTAAATGGATGAACAATAGATTAAAATATCTGATTGGTCAAAAGAGAGGCATATATAGGCAAATCAAAAGAGGAGAGGGGCAATTAAGAAATCGATATATTCAGTTAAAGAGAGAAATAAAAAAGGGAATTAGAAAAGCAAAAAGAGATTATGAGGTTAAAGTTGCAAGACAATCGAAGACTAACCCAAAAGGATTCTTTCAGGTATACAGAAGTAAGATCAGGGACAAGATAGGCCCACTCAAAAGTTCCTCGGGTCAGCTCACTGACAGTGATAAGGAAATGTGTAGAATTTTTAACACATACTTCCTCTCAGTTTTTACACATGAGGATACCAGCGATATTCCAGTAATGATAAATTATGTAGAACAGGACGATAATAAACTGTGCACTATTAGGGTCACAAGTGACATGGTCCTTAGGCAAATAGATAAATTAAAACCTAACAAATCCCCAGGCCCTGATGAACTGTATGCAAGGGTTCTAAAGGAATGTAAAGAGGAGCTTAGCACACCTTTGGCTAATCTTTTCAACATATCACTACAAACTGGCATGGTGCCAGATAAGTGGAAAATGGCAAATGTGATACCTATTTTCAAAACAGGTGACAGGTCCTTAGCTTCGAACTATAGACCAATAAGCCTAACCTCCATAGTGGGAAAATTTATGGAATCAATAATTGCCGAGGCAGTTCGTAGCCACCTTGAAAAGCATAAATTAATCAACGAATCTCAGCATGGTTTTACAAAGGGGCGTTCCTGCCTTACGAATTTATTAACTTTTTTCACTAAGGTATTTGAGGAGGTAGATCATGGTAATGAATATGATATTGTGTATATGGACTTCAGTAAGGCTTTTGACAGGGTCCCACATCAGAGACTATTGAGGAAAATTAAAGCACATGAAATAGGAGGAGAAATTTTTTCCTGGATAGAGGCATGGTTGACAAATAGGCAGCAGAGAGTTTGCATAAATGGGGAGAAATCAGAGTGGGGAAGCGTCACGAGCGGTGTTCCACAGGGGTCAGTGTTGGGCCCCCTGCTGTTCACAATCTACATAAACGATATAGATGAGGGCATAAAGAGCGACATCGGCAAGTTTGCCGATGACACCAAAATAGGCCGTCGAATTCATTCTGACGAGGACATTCGAGCACTCCAGGAAGATTTGAATAGACTGATGCAGTGGTCGGAGAAGTGGCAGATGCAGTTTAATATAGACAAATGCAAAGTTCTAAATGTTGGACAGGACAATAACCATGCCACATATAAACTAAATAATGTAGATCTTAATATTACGGATTGCGAAAAAGATTTAGGAGCTCTGGTTAGCAGTAATCTGAAACCAAGACAACAGTGCATAAGTGTTCGCAATAAAGCTAATAGAATCCTTGGCTACATATCAAGAAGCATAAATAATAGGAGTCCTCAGGTTGTTCTTCAACTCTATACATCCTTGGTTAGGCCTCATTTAGATTATGCTGCACAGTTTTGGTCACCGTATTACAGAATGGATATAAATTCTCTGGAAAATGTACAAAGGAGGATGACAAAGATGATCCCATGTATCAGAAACCTTCCCTATGAGGATAGACTAAGGGCCCTGAAATTGCACTCTCTAGAAAGACGTAGAATTAGGGGGGATATGATTGAGGTGTATAAGTGGAAGACAGGAATAAATAAAGGGGATGTAAATAGTGTGCTGAAAATATCTAGCCTAGACAGGACTCGCAGCAATGGTTTTAAGTTGGAAAAATTCAGATTCAGGAAGGATATAGGAAAGTACTGGTTTGGTAATAGAGTTGTGGATGAGTGGAACAAACTCCCAAGTACCGTTATAGAGGCCAGAACGTTGTGTAGCTTTAAAAATAGTTGGATAAATACATGAGTGGATGTGGGTGGGTGTGAGTTGGACCTGATAGCTTGTGCTACCAGGTCGGTTGCCGTGTTCCTCCCTTAAGTCAATGTGACCTGACCTGACTAGGTTGGGTGCATTGGCTTAAGCCGGTAGGAGACTTGGACCTGCCTCGCATGGGCCAGTAGGCCTTCTGCAGTGTTCCTTCGTTCTTATGTTCTTATGTTCTTATATTCAGAAGTCTCGTCCTTTATTGTTACTCATTCTCTTTTTTCTCCATTTTATCCGCCTCTTCACTTAATTTCTGGATATTCTTTTGTAAGGTTCTCTGTTAAATACTCTTGCAGATGATAATATTGATGCAGTTCATCCGTCCCAGTCTTCCTCATTTAATCATTTACTGTTTTAAATCTTCAACAAGTTCGTAATATTAAAAATCATCTTCCTACATTCCAAGAAATTTTCTCTTACAGAACTTTTATTTTCCGGATGCCACTATACCCTTTTATATACCATGTTCACCAAAATTCTAAATAGCATGCATATCAACACACTGGCCCATAATTTTATGCCTCCTGCCTGACCCATTGACATAAATTGTCGGGTACCGTTGTTTTGGTATTAATAAAACACCCATTAGTTAATTCATATTTATTTTAAATTGCTATATGAATGTTTTATAGCTCTTGGTTCAGCCTGACTTTCTCACTTTCAGGCAGCACTGCTCATTCTTATGTGAAGTCCTCCTTCAATCATTTGTAAACTCCGCATTCTTCTCCATAATCTATATTTCATATACCGTTATTTTCAGCCTCATTTGGCTTTTCACACTTTTCTTAACTTTTTTTTTATGTTGCTGTTAATATTCTGATTCATTTTAAATCAGTGATTTTATACCATTTTAAAGCTTTTCGTATTAGTGACGATGGAAGTGAGAGATATATAAGTTTTTATACAAAAAAAAATATAGTAATATAATGTTTATTGCAGGAAAATGTTCGTTTTATGAATCCAGAGAAGAGTTTCTGCTGGCAATGTTTGCAATGATTAGTCAAAAAGGCAGCCCACTTGTGCCAATATTAAATAAGAGGTAAAAGAAAATATCAGTTGATTGATGGTTTTGTTTGGAATATTATAAAATAATCAACATTATTGTCCATACCAAAATCGTCTTGCAAAAGTAAAATACACACACAAACACATACACATACAATCGTTCAAGACTCAGTACATCTTGTACATTAGGCCTATGTTGAAATATCCAGCACCAGGACACCTGGTCAAGCACGTCAAAAAATTAGAGAAAGCTCAAAGGTTTGCAACAAGACTAGTCCCGGATCTAAGGGACATGTCCTACGAAGAGAGACCTGATAACACTGGAGGACAGGAGGGATAGGGTAGACATAATAACGAGATCTAAAATACCGAGAGGAATTGAAAAGGTGGATACGGACAGGATGTTTCAGAGATTGGACACAGCAATAAGGGGTTACAACTGGAAGCTGAAAACTCAGATGAGTCAAAGGGATGTTAGGAAGCATTTCTTCAGTCATAGAGTTGTCAGGAAGTGGAACAATCTGGAGAGTGATGTAGTGGAGGCAGGATCCATACATAGCCTTAAGAATAGATACGACGAAGCTCATGGAGAAGGGAGAGGGCGGACCTGTGTGAGTAGGTGAGTACTCTCTCGCTCTCTCTCTTTCTCAAAGTCCCTCACATTCTCACACACATTCCCACACTCCCTCCCTTGCACACACACACACACACACACGCGCGCGCGCGCGCGTATGGTTAAATTAGACACATGTGCAACACTTGGTTATATCTGTTGTGGAAACGCTTCGTCAGACAGTGGTTTCTTCAGTTCATTACAAAGGAGAATAGTGAAGATCAGGAGATTCAGGTAATCAGTCCCTCAGCCTGTAGTCGGTGTAACGAGTCCATAAATCTGTATAATAATACAGCATATGCGTAAAGTATTTGCTTATATGGTGCAGACAGTGTATTGTATTCTTATCAAGATTGATGGACTCATTACGTCGACTCCAGGCTCAGTAAATGATTTCCTCAATATCCTTCTGATTTTCACTGTTTTCCTTTGTATTGGACCGATGAAGCCACTGTGTGGCGAAGTGTTTCCACAATAAGGATACTCAAATGTTGCCCATGTGTCAAGTATATCTACTTGTCCGTTCTCTGAACCATTTATTTACACACATACATACATACATACTAATGTATACGGAAATTGATTGCATTATTTTCGTTTTATTATGATGTTCGTGTTGTTTATCTCTCAGGATAACGTCGATGACGGAGGCTGGGTTGTTCTTCCAGTGGTTGATAGCTGAAGAACCCAACTCCACTGTGTGTGATCATGTTCCCACCAAGATCACTGTCAACGTGGCACTTTCTCTTAGTAATGTATGGGTAGGGAATAATTTTCAAAATATTTGAAAGTGTGAACACAAAATTGTAAACGAGACCTATGTAATATTCAATGAGTGTTTATGACTGTCACATGAAATATTTAATCTGAATATGAAAACAGTATATATTGTACTACATATATATATATATATATATATATATATATATATATATATATATATATATATATATATAATTATATATATATATATATATATATATATATATATTATATATATATGTGTGTGTGTGTGTGTGGTGTGTGTGTGTGTGTGTGTGTGTGTGTGTGTGTGTGTGTGTGTGTGTGTGTGTGTGTGTGTGTGTTTGTGTGTGTGTGTGTCGTGCTGAATAGGTCAAACTTACGATTTTTCATTAATAGCAACGCTCTTCTTGCCGAATAAGGCGAGCGAAATTTGTGTATGCAATAATTTCGTAATAAAGCTAGCAGAATTACAGACAATATGTAAAGTAAATGGAGAGCGAAACGATGCCACAATAAAATGTCACATTAGTTGCACTTGTGTCCTTTTACTTTACATGCAAAAATTTCGCAAAAATCACTTCGAGCTAACTAAGAAATATATTTCAATGTGTCTGTTTATTATTAAATTATTGTAAACTTATCTAAAATACATTTAGTTGGATTAGGCTAAATGCTAAAGGATTAATTTCAGCCTCTTCTTGTTTGAATACCCGCCTCAATAAGCAGTCTATACGGCAATGAAACCACGAAACAAGTGATTTGATAAATGATTGGTATATGATTCAAAACTACTTGTTTGGTGGTTTCATTGTTTGTTAAGGCGGGTATTCAAACAGGAGGAGGCTGAAATTAATCCTTTAGCATGTCACTGCCACGAGTGTCATCGCAACATGAAACAAGCCTACTTCGCTAGGCTCATGTTGTTTGTAGGATCGATGGCTGAGTGGATCAAGTGACATGTACATTGTGTTTTCTCTTGAGGCGGGACAATGTGTCGTGGGATCGAACCCTGGACTGCCACAGTTTGGTAAACGATTCAGAAACGCATGACTCTTTAGACCACTAGACCACACAATCCTTAACAACGGTGCATCCAGCCAAGCTAGATTTTGTGCCCACCATCGAAGGACATACGGTGGTGTGGACGCCCCCGAGCTAATTTAATTCTACTCCCTGTTTGTAATATATAATCTTAATATATATATATATATATATATATTTATATATATATATATATAATATATATTAACATATATATATATACACACATATATATATATATATATATATATATATATATTATATATATATATATATATATATATATATATATATATATAGTTTTGGAGTGGTGGTTGGCAATTATTTAATAAATGTATGGAAGAGGGTAAGGTACCTAGGGATTGGCAGAGAGCATGCATAGTTCCTTTGTATAAAGGCAAAGGGGATAAAAGAGAGTGCAAAAATTATAGGGGGATAAGTCTGTTGAGTGTACCTGGTAAAGTGTATGGTAGAGTTATAATTGAAAGAATTAAGAGTAAGACGGAGAATAGGATAGCAGATGAACAAGGAGGCTTTAGGAAAGGTAGGGGGTGTGTGGACCAGGTGTTTACAGTGAAACATATAAGTGAACAGTATTTAGATAAGGCTAAAGAGGTCTTTGTGGCATTTATGGATTTGGAAAAGGCGTATGACAGGGTGGATAGGGGGGCAATGTGGCAGATGTTGCAAGTGTATGGTGTAGGAGGTAGGTTACTGAAAGCAGTGAAGAGTTTTTACGAGGATAGTGAGGCTCAAGTTAGAGTATGTAGAGAAGAGGGAAATTTTTTCCCAGTAAAAGTAGGCCTTAGACAAGGATGTGTGATGTCACCGTGGTTGTTTAATATATTTATAGATGGGGTTGTAAGAGAAGTAAATGCGAGGGTCTTGGCAAGAGGCGTGGAGTTAAAAGATAAAGAATCACACACAGGGTGGGAGTTGTCACAGCTGCTCTTTGCTGATGACACTGTGCTCTTGGGAGATTCTGAAGAGAAGCTGCAGAGATTGGTGGATGAATTTGGTAGGGTGTGCAAAAGAAGAAAATTAAAGGTGAATACAGGAAAGAGTAAGGTTATGAGGATAACAAAAAGATTAGGTGATGAAAGATTGAATATCAGATTGGAGGGAGAGAGTATGGAGGAGGTGAACGTATTCAGATATTTGGGAGTGGACGTGTCAGCGGATGGGTCTATGAAAGATGAGGTGAATCATAGAATTGATGAGGGAAAAAGAGTGAGTGGTGCACTTAGGAGTCTGTGGAGACAGAGAACTTTGTCCTTGGAGGCAAAGAGGGGAATGTATGAGAGTATAGTTTTACCAACGCTCTTATATGGGTGTGAAGCATGGGTGATGAATGTTGCAGCGAGGAGAAGGCTGGAGGCAGTGGAGATGTCATGTCTGAGGGCAATGTGTGGTGTGAATATAATGCAGAGAATTCGTAGTTTGGAAGTTAGGAGGAGGTGCGGGATTACCAAAACTGTTGTCCAGAGGGCTGAGGAAGGGTTGTTGAGGTGGTTCGGACATGTAGAGAGAATGGAGCGAAACAGAATAACTTCAAGAGTGTATCAGTCTGTAGTGGAAGGAAGGCGGGGTAGGGGTCGGCCTAGGAAGGGTTGGAGGGAGGGGGTAAAGGAGGTTTTGTGTGCGAGGGGCTTGGACTTCCAGCAGGCATGCGTGAGCGTGTTTGATAGGAGTGAATGGAGACAAATGGTTTTTAATACTTGACGTGCTGTTGGAGTGTGAGCAAAGTAACATTTATGAAGGGGTTCAGGGAAACCGGCAGGCCGGACTTGAGTCCTGGAGATGGGAAGTACAGTGCCTGCACTCTGAAGGAGGGGTGTTAATGTTGCAGTTTAAAAACTGTAGTGTAAAGCACCCTTCTGGCAAGACAGTGATGGAGTGAATGATGGTGAAAGTTTTTCTTTTTCGGGCCACCCTGCCTTGGTGGGAATCGGCCAGTGTGATAAAAAAAAAAAAAAAAAAAAAAAAAAAAAAAAAAAAAAAAAAAAAAAAATAAAAAAAAAAAAATATATATATATATATATATATATATATTATATATATATATATATATATATATATACATATATATATATATATATATATATAATATATATATATATATATATATATACATACATACATATAATAAGTCACTGTCTGACTTTTTTGGGTTATCCTAGGTTCTCTACACATATGCTGCTATGTATGATAATTCTATGTAACTGTATTTGTGTATACCTGAATAAATTTACTTACTTACTTATAAATGCTTTAAGGATGTTTACATATAAATCAGTAATTAAGCCATTCTTGTGTATTTCAGGGAATGTTTGTTATCCTCCTGGTGGGTCAGGTCACCAGTCTGTCTGTGTTCTGCCTCGAGCTTCTCATTCGTCGGATTCAACAAAATTAGACTTTTCAATATACAAATAATTTATAATTCCTCTAAAATTTTTTAGTACTTAATGTGACCACTTAAAATTCAATATTAGTTGTTGTATTCTGTAAAATTTGTAGTTATTTTAAATATAATTTCAAATATTTCACCTCAGTTTTCACATTTTTTTCCTTTCTTCGTCATTTCACCATATAAATGTATATTTTCTTTCTCTGAGAAATATTGTTGATATGTTAACTGCATTATTCAATCAAGTTTTTTTTCTATGAACTGTTTATGTATCATTATTGTACACTTTTCTAGAGTTTTCATATATGTACAATGGTTCACAATTATGACCTCTTTTTCCATCAATTTTATGCCTAGCTTTCTATTCATGATCAATATTTCTAATTTAAGCCAACGTGAAAGAAATAAAAAAAAATGTACACACAATTATACAATATATTGCCACACATACGCCGTTTTCTAACAATCTTTATTAGATTGTTAGAAGGACATCAGGTATATTAATATTTGCATTTTGCATTTGACGTCAGTTGCAACTTGAAAGCAATTATCTTCCGTACACGCCTCATGTTACGAAATGCTAGCCACCTCCCTCCTCATGTTCGGAGGCGCTTGTCACTTTCGTCTCATTAAATAACACCAATCACCTGCCGCTAGAGTGATCTCAGGTTGATGAAGGTAGCCAATAGGCTGTGAGTGTGGGTCTCAGTTCTCCCATAAAAGAAGTGACGGGGTCCAGCTTGACTCATTCTTCTGCTTCTCGCTCAGTTGGCAGTGATCGATTCTCAGCTCTGTGTCACTGTGAGAAGCTTCTTCACAATCGCAAACATATAGAAGCTTCTCTCTCTCAAGCAAGGTAAAATTCCCATATATTTTATAACATTTTATATAATACTGTATAAGTAAGGCTTCATCTTGATACTTTATGTCCCTCACATATATGGTTCTTCATCTCAATTACATTTATATTAGTTGTCTAGTTTTTATTTAATACTGAGGACGAATATTTTGAAATATATTATGACTCAAAATTTGCAAGTTACATTTTATAGATGAATTTTGTGGTATCTCTAATCCTTGCTTCGCTTTCTAAAATTATGTGAGATTTAAAGATCAAGTGGAAAATATAACATTCGAATATTATATGGAAAATATAACACATATATAAAGACCACATGGAAAAGACTACATAATGAAAGCCCATGTTGAAAATACCTTAAATTTCGACCCATTTCGTTACATTGTTATGTTATAATAATTTAAAAAAATTACGTACCATTTTAAGAAAAAACATTTATGGGATTAGTTTCAGTTTGTTTACGGCTGGTGCATTGCTACTGTCTAGTCACAGTTACCCCTCAAGGGAGGTTCCTTGACGCTGGTGAGGGGCTCTTGATCTAGGGATTGGGCCTGTACTCCGATTCCCTGAATTGAGCCTGAACGCTTTCCATTACCTCCCTCCACGCTTCCCCATAATAATAATGGTGACAGTTACATCTGGAACATTAAAATGGTATAAAATACCGACAGGTTGTTAGCTAAGACACATATGCAACAGTTAGGTATCTTTATTTCGAAACGTTTCGCCTACACAGTAGGCTTCTTCAGTCGAGTACAGAAAAGTTGATAGAAGCAGAAGAGACTTGAAGACGATGTAATCAGTCCATCTCCCTTAAAGTTTTGAGGTGGTCAGTCCCTCCCTCAGTCTGGAGAAGAGCATTGTTCCATAGTCTGAAACAATGCTCTTCTCCAGACTGAGGGACTGACCACCTCAAAACTTTAAGGGTGATGGACTGATTACATCGTCTTCAAGTCTCTTCTGCTTCTATCAACTTTTCTGTACTCGACTGAAGAAGCCTACTGTGTAGGCGAAACGTTTCGAAATAAAGATACCTAACTGTTGCATATGTGTCTTACCTAACACACAGTTACATCTATTCCACTACTGTAAATTATTAGGCTCTTCAGTTTAACTTGGGTTTACCGAAAGTAAGTATAGGAAAAGACTGAATATGCCAGACAAGCTTTTATTAGGAATATGCTTTGTAGTGTAGAACTATGTAAAGTAAATGGACACAAGTGCAACTAATGTGGCATTTTATTGTGGCAACGTTTCGCTCTCCAGGAGCTTTATCAAGCCATTACAAACAATACATGGAGTGAGTGAGGTGCAATACTAGTGAGGTACCATTTCGATGTTCACTAGTGGTAGTAGTAGTAGTAGTAGTAGTAGTAGTAGTAGTAGTAGTAGTGACAAAAGTAATACAATATGGTAGAGCAATTAATTCGTACATGAATAAAAGGATATAAAAGCTATTACTTGGGTAACATAAAAATAGGTTGGACAAATATAGACTGGAAAGAGGCAGCTTGTTTCAGTGTTCACTCTCTGTAATGTGCTTTGTGTAGTATAACAGGAGAGACTATGTGATGGCAGGGTTTACTGTTTTCAGGAGGATTCTTGCTAAGACTTCGGAGATGGTGAAGCTGCGTTGTTTTGTTTAATTGTATTCGAAACAGCGATCAGTGCTGATTCGAGGCACTTGTGTCTGCGGAAATTAGTTTCATTGATCACTAATTGGGCGTCTCTTAATTTCATAAGATGATTGGTGGAATTTCGGTGTTGTACACAGGCGTTGTTCAAGTTATCGTTCCTACATGCGTAAATGTGTTCATTGAGGCGGGTGTCGAGGTTTCTTGCTGTTTCACCTACGTAAATCTTGTCACAGCCTCCACAGGGTATAGTGTAAACTCCTGCATTGACTGGTTCGTGGTGCTTGGATTTTGTCCTGGTTAGATCCTTTATTGAAGTGCTAGAAGCGATGGCGACTCTGGTGTTAGCTTGTGAAAGTACTTTAGAAACGTTCAGTGCAACCTGGCTGTTGGGAAGAATTATAACTTTGTTGGGAGTGGTGTTGATGCGCCTCAATGAACACATTTACGCATGTAGGAACGATAACTTGAACAACGCCTGTGTACAACACTGAAATTCCACCAATCATCTCATGAAATTCAGAGACGCCCAATTAGTGATCAATGAAACTAATTTCCGCAGACGCAAGTGCCTCGAAACAGCACTGATCGCTGTTTCGAATACAATTAAACAAAACAACGGCAGCTTCACCATGTCCGAAGTCTTAGCAAGAATCCTCCTGAAAACAATAAACCCTGCCATCACATAGTCTCTCCTGTTATACTACACAAAGCACATTACAGAGAGTGAACACTGAAACAAGCTGCCTCTTTCCAGTCTATATTTGTCCAACCTATTTTTATGTTACCCAAGTAATAGCTTTTATATCCTTTTACTCATGTACGAATTAATTGCTCTACCATATTGTATTACTTTTGTCACTACTACTACTACTACTACTACTACTACTACTACTACTACTACTACTACTACTACTACTACTACTACTACTACTACTACTACCACTAGTGAACATCGAAATAGTACCTCACTAGCATTGCACCTCACTCTGAGCCTTTATATACCCTCTGTGTCCATGTATTGTTTGTAATGGCTTGATAAAGCTCCTGGAGAGCGAAACGTTGCCACAATAAATGTTACATTAGTTGCACTTGTGTCCTTTTACTTTACATATTGTCGGTAATTCTACCAACTTTATTACAGTGTAGAACTAGTTACGATTTGGTTAATATCTGCACAGCGAGATATTTTCCCTAGAATAGGAATGTTCTGCATATTGTGTCGGGGAACTCTTGTGTATTCTAACATTGCTACATTTTGCAATGATTATCCGCTACATTTAACATTTTAAGCGGAAAGTTTAATTATATTTTATTATTTAAAACAGGACGACGATTATTAGAGCACTTCTCGATCCTTGTTTACGATGTTTGTGAAAGTGTTTCTGTGTTTATAGTGCAGGTGACAAAATACTGATAATTCAATGATGTTACATACTGAGGGAGAGACTGTCAACTACTTTTACGTACATCTCTCAAGTCCATTGCCTCTGAAAGCTGTCTGCTCAGAGGCATTTATGGCATTTGATTCTCGAAGCTCGATCACTTCTTGGGAAAAGACACAAGAACTATTAATTACTACGAACCAAAGTGAGATAAGTTATTAGACACACTATGCCTGTGGGAATTTGAAACAACGCTGAAAATATTTAACACATAACTTGTGTTCCTGAAGAAGAGTGATATTAAAAACAAAAGAAAGGAGGAACACTGCTGCAGGCCTGCTAGCCCATATTAGGCAGATCTTCACAGCTCCATCCTACTAATAGAATATTTGCCCTCATAAGAACATAAGATCATAAGAAATAAGGAACACTGCAACAGGCCTACTGGTCTATGCGAGGCAGCTCCAATTCTACCCACCGGCTTAAGCCAATGCCTTGACCAAATGAGGTCAGACACGTCACTTAAGGGAGGAGCACTGTGTCCGACCCAGTAGCTAGTCCGGTCCATTTCACACCCACCCACACCGACTCATAAGAACATAACATATGAAAGAACGAACACCGCAGCAGGCCCACTGACTCACGCGAAGCAGGTCCATGTCTCCCCTCCCCGGATTAGCCCAATGACCCACCTAGTCAGGTCACTTCCACTTAAGGAAGGAGCACGGCATCAGACCTAGTACCACAAGCTAGTCAGGTCAAAATCACACCCACCCACACTCACTCATGTATTTATCTAACCTATTTTTAAAACTACACAACGTTTTAGCCTCTATAACTGTACTGGGGAGTTTGTTCCACTCATCCTCAGCTCTATATCAAACCAGTGCTTTCCTATATCCTTCCTCGGTCTGAATTTTTCCAACTTGAAACCATTGTTGCGAGTCCTGTCTTGGCCGGAAATTTTCAGCATGATATTTACATCCCCTTTATTTATTCCTGTTTTCCATTTATACACCTCGATCATATCCCCCCTAATTCTACGCCTTTCTAGAGAGTGCAGATTCAGGGCCCTCAGTCTGTCCTCATAGGGAAGATTTCTGATACATGGGATCAAGTTTGTCATCC